CCATAGCTTAGCTGAGACTTCTTACATTCTGTATACATGTCAACATAAAGTGGCTCCAAAACTGAACACTAAATACTACCCAGCCAGGCCATAACCTGACAAGTTGAGGAAACAACAAACAAAAATACAACCAACCAATCAACAAAGATGAAATCACTGACCCCTACCAAGAAACACTACCACATGAGTCCAGGTGCCTAGGTCTCATTGAAAAAAAAACACACACACACACCATGAATAACCAAGATAATATGTCTATTACAGAAATTAGCACCCCATCATAATGTTTCCTTAAATGGTAAACTAATGGATGCAGAAGACAATGATTTCAATAAATCATAAATGTGTTCAAGGAACTCAAAGAGGATACCAGTAAAAGGCTAAATGAAGACTGAAGACACAGTTGAATGAAATAACTAAAACAACTAAAACATTAAATTAGAATTCAATAAAGAGAGTCTCTGAAGAAAAGTCAAACTGGGGGGCTGGGGAGATAGCTCAGCGGTTAAGAGCACTGACTGCTCTTGCAGAGAACCTGGGTTCAATTCCCAGCTCTCACATGGCGGATACGAACTGTCCTTAACTCTAGTTCCAGGAGAATCCGAAGCCCTCTTCTGACCTCCACAACACTGCATGACATTGGTGCACTCACATACATGTAGGCAATACACTCATACACATAAAATAAAAATAATAAATCAAATATTTTTAAAAAATTAAAAAAAAGAAAAGTCAAACTGGACTAAAACTTAATGTGAAAAACTCAGGAACTTAAACAAAAAGCTTAGAGGAATGAAACAAAAAGGAAATAGATGAAATGGAACCGAGAATATCAGATTTTGAAGACAAGCTTGGGGAAGTGGATTGCTAAGTCAAAGAAAATGTCAAATTTGAAATAACCCAAGAACAGAATATGTAAGACCTCTGGGGCACTGTGGAAAGACCAAACCTACAAATCATAGGCATTGAAGGAGAAGAAACTCAGGTCAAAGGCACAAAAAATATTTTTAATAAAATCATAGAAGAAAATTTCCCAAATCTAGGAAAAGATATCAATGTACAAGAGGTATATAGAACACCAAGTAGACAGGCCCAGAGAAGAAACTTCCCATGTCAATAATAGTCAAAACTCTAAATGTACGGAGCAAAGAAAAGATATTGAAAGCTGTGAGAGAAAAAGAGAAAGTCACATACAAAGGTAGGCCCATAAGAATAACAGCTGACTTTTCAGTGGAGACTATGAAAGCCAAAAGGGCTTGGACCAGTGTCCTACAGGTCATGAAAGAACAGAGATTCCATTATACCCAGCAAAACTATCAGTTGTAATTGAAGGAGAAAGAAAAACTTTCCATGATAAAAACAGAATTAAGGAATTTATATCCATGAAACCAGTGCTACAGACAATATTCAATGAAATACTTCTGTCTGAAGAGAAGATTAAACACTCTCAAGAGGGCACAAAAAATGAACGAATTAACCCAGAACAGTCAACCAAAAGAGGTCTACGAAAACAGCACTACGACACCAACATAACAGGAATTAATAAACATCGGTCAATAACTCTCAATAATAATGGTCTCAACTTCCCAATAAAAAGACAGACTGATTGGATTAGAAAACAGGATCCATCAATTTGCTGCCCCCAAGAAACATACCTCATCAACAATAATTGACACCACCTTAGAATAAAAGAATGAAAAATGATAGTCCAAGTAAATGGTACTAAGAAACAAGCAGGTTTCAAACTAAAAGTAGTCAGAAGAGACAAGAAAGGTCACTTACTACTCATTAAGAAGATATTATAATCCTAAACATATATGCACCACACACAGGGGCAACCAATTTTATAAAAGAAACTTTATAACATCTAAAATCACACATTGACTTCAACACAGTGACAGTGGGTGACTTCAATACCCCATTATCACCAATAGACAGGTCAACCAGACAAAAGCTAAACAGAGAACCCTGGAGTTAAATGACACTATAAATAAAATGGACCTTACAGCTATCTACAGAACATTCCACCCAAACAGCAGTCCATGGAACTTTTTCCAAAATTGACCACAAGCCAAGTCTTCATAAATTTAGAAAAGTTGAAATATCATCTTACGCTGGATAGCTTTGTTGTCAACTTGATACACTTGGGTAGAGGGGGCCTCATTTAGGGAATTGCCTCCATTGGACTGACCTATGGCCATATCTGTGGGGCATTTTCTTGATTGCTGATTGATGTGGGAGAACCTATCCCACTGTGGGTGGTACCGCCCCTGGGCAGGTGGTCCTATATTGTAGAAGAAAGCATGTTGAGCACAGGCCAGGGGAGCAAGCCAGTAGGCAGCTATCTTTTATAGTCTGTGCTCCAGGTTCCTGCCTGAGTTCCTACCTTGGGCTCCTTCAGGGATGAACTGTGATCTGGGAGATGTAAGATAAAATAAACCCTTTCCTCGCCCAAGTTGGTTTTGGTCAGTATTTTAATCACAGGAATTGAAAGTATCTAGGACACATCCTGTATTCTATTTGACCACAAAGAATAAAGGTAGATATCAACAACAATAAAAATGGTAAAAAGTACATAAACTCGTGGAAGCTAAACACATTATTGAATGAGAATCAAGGGAGAAATCAAGAAGAAAATTGAAAAATTCCTAGATTACAGCCTTAGCCAAGGAGGACATTGTTGTTCAAGAAATAAGAGATATTAAAACAAAACAAAAAAAAAAAAACAAACTCTGGAAAGTCATCTGAAAAATGGAGGAGAAAGCTCTTCATCATGGGAACTTCCAAGCACATAGTGAAATGGTGATGGAACACAGCCTCCAGTGTGCACTGTCCAGCTCCAACAAGGATCACATGCATTGGTGTTTCAGAATGATTCTGGCCCTTCCTTCCGCTAGAAAAGTCTGCTGTAGTAGACTCAAGCAGACTTCAGACAGTATATAATGATACACCTATAAACACTTCAAAATAGTTTCTAATTTTCAGAATGTTCTTTTAATTTTGATCTATCATGAAAATGCAACACCATTTTTACCCCTAAAAATTAATAATCCCTTAATATTTAACACTCTGGTCCTTATTCAGATTTCCTGAAATTGCTAAGAAGTATCTTTTATGATACTTGTTTGAATGAAGGTCCCTCACTGAATTTGACTCATGTATCTTTTTTTTTTTTCTTGGTCTTTTTGAGACAGGGTCTCCCTATAGTCCCAGCTGGCCTGGAACTCACTATGCAGACCAGGCTGGCCTTGAACTCAAAGATCTGCCTGCTTCTGCCTCCTGATTAAAGGTGTACACCACCACACCTGGTGACTCATAGATCTTCTAAAGTCTCTTTTTTTTTTGTTATTGTTGAAGATCTTATATGTGTATACATGTACATGTGGAGGTCAGTGGATAACCTTAGGTATCATTCTCTTCTACTTTTTGAGACAGGGTCTCTCATTGGCCTGGAATTTTGCCAAGTAGGCTGGGCTCGCTGGCCAAGGAGCTCCAGGATCTGCCTGTCTCTGCCTCCCATCCTGCCAGTGCGGGGCTGCCACTGTGTTCAACTTCTTTTCTTTTTCTTTTTTGAGACAGGGTATCCCCATAGCCCTAAGCAGGCCCGGAACTCACCATGTAGACCAGGCTTGCCTTGATCTCACAGAGATCCTCCTATTTCTACCTCCCAAGTGTTGGGACTGAAGGTGTGTGCCCCCATGCCAGGCCATGCTCAACTTTTTACAGGGGTTCTGGGACTTGAACTCAGGTCTCCATACTTGCAAGCTATACTAGTTTGCTTTTCTGTTGCTGTGATAAAACACAGACCAATACCAAAAGCAACTTTGGAAGAAATGATTTATTGGCTTACAGGCTTCAGTCCATTATCAAGGGGAGCCAAGGCAGGAACTCAAGTCAGGAACTGAAGCAGAGACCATGGAGGAACGCTGCTTACTGGATTGCTTCCCTGGCTTGCTCAGCTACCTTTCATATACAACCCAGACCCACCGGCCCAGGGATGGCACTGCCCACGGTGGGCTGGGCTCTCCCACATCAATTAGCAATTAAGAAAATGCCTCACAGACATGCCCACAGGCCAATCTGATGAAGGAAATTCAATTGAGGTTTCCGCTTCCCAGGAATCTCTAGTTTGTATCAAGTTGACAAATACTAACCAGTATACAAGGCAGTGCTTTACCAACTGAGTTAACTCTAACCTTCCAAGTCTCTTTTAATTCACAGTGAAAACCTCATTTTCTAAGTTACCTAATATTTTAATCTGACTTCTTCCAAAATTTTAAGAGCTTGGTGGGTTATGTGTCTCCCAGGTATGTGCTGGCTTAGTGCTTCAGTTGGTGGGTCATAAATCAGCTGGATGGTCTATTACAAAGGCATTCTGCCTTTTTACTGATATAGCTAATGAGACTTTGGAGTCATTGACCTGTGGGTTTATTTATGCTTAAAAGTCTCCCTGTTACATTGAAAATTATGACTCCACGCTACAGAATGTAATGATGGTACCCTGGACATGTAAGTTCAGCAATAAGTATGTTAAAAAGTGATAAGTATATACTAGGTATTATTTTAGAAATGCTTTCAAGTGGTTTCCTTCAGCTGGTGGTAGTGGGCAGCATAAGGGTCTTCTGAGTTGGTAGATAAAGACAGATGACATCCCAAACTTCTGGCAATTCCTCTACTTCCATGTTCTTCCTGTTTTGAAATCTCTTTCAGTCCTACAACCAGGCATTTGCCTCCCTCTCCTGTTTCTTTTCCCTTCATAGTCAACTACTATGGAGCAGCTTCCATATACCCCATGCATTAAAAGGTCAAACCCACAGACTCCTCACAGGCTGAAGATGTTACTGCATTTGATAGTGGTGATGCTCCAGAGTCTGGGGAGCTGTTCCAGCTCTTGTCAGTGCCTCACTGCTCCTGGAGAGCATGCACTAATGATCAAGCCAAGTAAGGAAGGTCAAAATCAATGCTAAGAGCTCATGAAACATTTAAAACTAGACCAGTACCTGCTCCGTGAAATCCTCCGCAGACATAGAGCTTTCCATCCACAGCACCTGCATTGGTGGAATTAGTTCGGAGTGAGAGGAGGGGACTTGGCATGGGTGGGCCCTCTCGCCAAAAGTCCCCATCAGGGTTGTAGATCTCCACCACATCAAGGCATTTTCGAACTTGTCCTTTGTCTCGGCCCACACAGCCAATTCCACCTACAGAGAATGAAGCATAGAAATAAGAAGTTAGGGAGCAGAAGCCCCACTGTGGATATCCTCCCCTCCCAGCGGGGAGGCGGGGCAGCACAGGACTATGGGCCTCGACTTTTCTTTGTTGCTTCTTTCTAAGATCATTTCTAAGCAATAGTGTTAAGCACTAACTTCCCATTCCCCCTTCCCTAGCCCCCGGGACCCACCATTATTCTATGGACCTGACTATACTAAGGACCATATATGACTGGAATCACACAGTATTTATCCCTCTGTGATTTGTCATAGTTTTGTCAACGCGACACAAATTAGAGTCACCTGGAAAGAGAGAACCTCAATTTAAGGATACCCTCAATCAGATCAGCCTGTGCCATATCTGTAAGGTATTTTCTTGATTTCTAATTGATGTGGGAGGGCCCAGCTCACTGTAGGCAGTGCCACCCTTCGGCAGGTGGGTCTTGGCTGTATAAGAAAGGTAGTTGGGCAAGACAGGGGAGCAAGTCACTGAGCAGTGTTCCTCTATGGTTTCTGCTTTAGTCCTTGCCTCCAGGTTCCTGTTTTGAGTTCCTGTCTTGGCTTCCCTCCATAATGGACTGTAAAGTGTAACATGAAACAAACCCTTTCCTCCCCCAAGTTGGTTTCGGTGAGCATTCTATCACAGCAATATAAAGCAAACTAGAACAGGGTTAAAGGAAGACCAGGAAGACTGGAAACCCAAATGGCCAGGGCCTCTCCTTTTTTGGGGTGCTACAGTGCATCCAGGAGCTGTTCACTAAATTTAGCTCATTATAGATAAGGTGCTGTGGTAAGTGACAAGGAGCTGAAAACATGAATAAGGCATTTTCCCCCTACTCTTTAGAAATTAATGGAGTAGGGGCGGGAGAGATGGCTCAGCAGTTAAGAGCACTGGCTGCTCTTGCAGAGGACCCAGGTTTGGTTCCCAGCACCCATGTGGCAGCTAACAACCATCCATAACTTCAGTTCCAGGGGATTGGATGCCCTCTTCTGCATGTATGTATATACACACAGGCAAAACACTCAGACGTAGAATAAAATAATAAAGTATTAAAAAAGAAATTTGGCCAGGCGTGGTGGCACATGCTTTTAATCCCAGCACTCGGGAGGCAGAGGCAGGCAGATCTCTGTGAGTTCAAGGCCAGTCTACATAGTGAGTTCCAGGACAGCTGGAGCTACAGGGAAACCCTGTCTCAAAAAGACCAAAAAAAAAAAAAAAAAAAAAAAAAAAAAAAAAATTAATGGAGTTGAAGGGACCATGTATGCAAATAGAATAAAGGACACCAGAACAGGCATCTTAAGAGCTATTTTAGAGGTGCAGAGATAGTAACATGGAGTAGACTTAATATGTACAGAATTACATATTAAGTCCAACCCTCCCTGGGGGAAGGAGTAACTGTGTAATAATATCCAACCCACTGTGATCAGAGCCAGTCTGCAGGTGATTTGTTTTTTATTCTCCAAGTCCCAAGAAAAAAGGTTTTAAATGTCAGGGTCATGGCCCCTGACCTGCAGGGTGGCTCCTAGACTGAGATGGACTCCCTGGAGGGAGGGACACTGTTGTATTTGCAATCATTCCTCTCATCCCTCATCTCATTCCAATGAGACCCACTGCTGATCTGTATGAGCCATGAAATGACTGTACAGCACTGGCCTCGGCTATAAGACCTCTCTCAGGCAGAAGGCCCTGACAGGGCTGCTGCATATGTGGGCTGATGGCTGGTATTGGGGTATGCTGAAAAAAAAATACTTTCATCTCAAAGCCTTTACTGTAGTTTCCACTTGCTGAGAAGTTTCTCTTCATCTCCTGGTCTTCTCACTGCCTGTTAGACTCTCTGCTCTTCACTGCTTTCTTGTCTTGCTCACTGACATTACCCTAAGCACCTTCCACAGAGCCTGACACATCAGTGTTTAGAATAGGTGTATGAGTAATGCCTCTTTCTTCACTTGCTCCTTACTTTATCCCTGTCCAGGTGGGGGTATGGTAAGCTCATAGAGGGCAATGGCTACTTCTCTGTGCACTATGAATGTCACTGAGCCTGCTACACAGTATTCAAGGAATCCGGGAGGGCTAATAAGAGCAGAATACTTTGCTACAAATAGGTCCTTATGCCAGGTGTGAAAGGTGAAAGAAGACGGGAGGAGCTTGTTCCTCCTCTGCTCATGGTGCCTGGCCTGTTTCCTGCCTCAGAATGAATTCAGAGACCGAGGCCAGGAGCTCAGGAAGCTCTTAGATGCCTTCTCTCTTATCTACCTAGATAAATAATTTAGCCTATTACAAGGCCAAGTCTGAGCTGCCTTATTTTGAAGAAGGAGACACACTGGCCTCAGCTAACCACACAGCTCTGTGCTCATAGGCAGGCCCACTTCCAATGTAGTACTGTGGTGGTGGGACACGTCCTAGCCTAAGAAAAAATGGAACCATAAAGAAGAGCGTTTATTTTTAGTATCAGAATGTCACAACCACAGGTAAGAACACAATGAAACCAGGTTCTAAGGCCCCCTTGGAAAAGCTGCCCTGTCAGGGCACATGCAGAGTGGGTTTTATTCTTGACGGTTTGGGATAATGAGAGCACTGATTATCTTTGTTGCTCTGTACCAAAAGTATTTAATCATAATGCTTTAAACTAGCCTTGTGAAATCTATCCTTTCTCTTTTACGGCAGTTTACATACTCTACTCCGAGGTGACCTGAGCTTATTGGGTACTCTTTGTCCTGACTGCTGAAGCTTGGATGCATTCTGTGTCATTGGGTGTAAATTCTACCTCAAGCACACTCCATTAGCAGTAGACTTAATGAACTTAAGGTGAGTCTTGATTAGATAAATAATCAAATAAAGGCCTGATCTTTATTAATGAGTCATTGCCAGCACTACAAGCACAACCTTTTGATGAGCGAGAGCCTAGAGTGGGATCTGCACTTTTGTAGAATTTCAATAAGGCAGCTCCGTATCTTTAATTTATGTGCTACCAGAACCTCCAAGCATGACTTTTCCTTATTCAAAACCAAGTTAGTGAAAAGAAATTATCTTCCTAAATCGTGACCAAATGTATCCCCAATGCAAAATATATACCTAGATTATTCTGGGGGTGGGGGGAGAAAATTATAGATTGCCACTCTTTCCTCATTTTATTCCTACAAAGATAAAGATTCTTCTTATGTTGGGCGGTGATAGATTCTTTCATTTCTGGGGGTGTGTGGGAGTCGGCCTGTCATCCCACCGAAAGCCCAGCAGGCAGCTGGCTGAGGGCAGAGGGACTTGCTGCCGGTTGCTGCCTGGTTTGCTGAGGAACACAGTGGGGCTGATATCCATGCCCTTCTCCTGCAGGGTGGCCTCAAGGTGGCAGGCTGATTCTATCCTGCTCTGAGCTTGACCCAAAAGAGGAGAGGGATTTCATGATAGTTCTGACAAGCTCCTGAAGTTGCTGGCATTGCTTAACAGCTTTTAGGGTAGAGTGGGGGAAATGACTGTGAGTGGTGGGTAGGGGCCATACATGAGCCATGGTAAAAGCATGAAGACTTTTAGAAACAGAGCCTGGTTCACATTCTTGTGTTACTACTTTTTAATTCCTCTAAGCCTCAACCATTCTCTCTTTAAATTAAGAATAATATCACCAATTTCATAAAATGTAGCAAAGATAACACAGCTTAGATATCAATGTAGAACAGAAGGCAAGGAGGAAACCACAGTACCCATAGGCACTGCCAAGGGAATTTTCTTTTATATATTTCCCCTCTTCTACTGTATATAAACAACCTGGCAGGCATGTAACCAGTACTCAGGTGATAATTCTTATTCTCTTTCATGTTTTGTGTTTTTTTTTTTTTTTTTTTTTTTTTTTTTTTTTGAGACAGGGTCTCCCTGTAGCCTCAGCTGTCCTGGATTCACCATGGAGACAGGCTGGCCTCAAACTCACAGAGATCTGCCTGCCTCTGCCTCCTGAGTGCTGGGATTAAAGGCGTGCCCTACCACGCCTGGCTTTTTAAAAATATTTTATTTTTTCGGTAATGTTTTTCACATCTACTAATTATTAAGGAGCAAATTTTTATGCTTTGAAGAATTAAAAAAATTTTTTTTTACACCCACTTCCCAGATGGCACCCTCCCATAGCCTCCCTCCCCTCACTAGAGCCCTTATACTCTGATATCCCTGCTACTGTCTACTGTGTTGTCGGCACCCCCAGCCATTCCCCACTTCTTGCCTTTCTG